TTAAAGAAAGCAAAATTAAATGACCACAAGATGGCAGCATTAGAACAAAATTGGAAAACTAGTCACGAATTAAGGTCTATTCCATATACTACCACTGCATAATCAATTAGCCATCTCCATTATTTATAACCAGCTTTCTGTCTTTGCTTCAGATACCCTCTGTAAGTTGATGCCTTCCAAATTTGGAATTGTGCCTCTGAATTAAGACTCACATATCCAGCTGCCTGCTTACCTTCTCCATTTTGATATCTGACAGACATCTCAAGTTTAGCAAGCTGAAAATCTTGATATCCTCTCTTCCCCACAAGCACGCATTTCCAATTTTAGTATATGTGCTGCCAAAGCGAGCACAGCATGCATTTCCTTCAGTATCCCTGTACCATTAAATGACACCCATCAGTCCATAGCAAAGCCTTCTGGCTCACCTTCAGAAAATACAGGCTCTGGTTGTTTCTCACCACCTCCACCATCACCACCCTGGCGTAAACTGCCATCATTTCCTGCCTGGATGGTTGGAGCAGCCTCCTGGCTGACCTTCTTGCTTCCAAACATTCACTCCCATAATCTGTTCTCTACCCAGCAGCCAGAGTGGTCATTATAAAAAGATCATGTCATTTGTCTGTTCAGAATCCTCCAAATGACTTCCTGTATAATTTGGAATAAAATCTAAAGTCCATTCCCTGCTTACCTGTCTGATCCCCAGTTATTTCTTTGACTTATCTCCTATCAGTTGTTTCCCTCACCCTCCATGTTTCATGCATACTGGCCTTGTAGCTGTCCCTGGAACCCAGGCACATCTCCACCTCGGGGCCTTTGCAGGCACTGTTACCTCTGCTTGGAGTACCCTTCCCCAGTTACCTACACAGCTCCCTTCCTCACTTCCTCTAGTTTTTGTTGGAATGTGACCTTATCAGACTACATGTGGTCCTTCCTGAGCACCCTGTGTAAAACGCAGTCCCCACTTGCTCATGCTCTGTCTACTTATCCTGCTTTATTTTCCCCCCATAGCATTCATCCCACATGATGTCATATGTGATTTACTGTTCTTTTTTTACTGTCTGCCCTTACCCCATTAGAGCTTCAACTCAATAAGAACTTGGGCTTTGCCTATTTTATTTACTGTTGTATTCCCCAGCACCTAGAATAGTGTCTGGCATATAGCAGGCACTCAGTAATTATTTGTTGAGTGAATAAAAGGAAGAAAGGAGGAAAGGGAGAAAGCAAGGAAAAGTGAGGCCTTAGAGTCCCTAAAAAGAAGGATTTTAAGGAACTACAATACAAAAGTGTTTCTGGAACACTGGGCGTGAAAAACCTCCAGACAGTTTCCTTTGAGTGCCTGGTCCTCAAATTATATGGTTCATTCTCAGTGAAGCAAAAACATTGGAAATTAAAATTAATTCCCTCTAGGAGGAAAAGTCTCTTTGTACTCATGATCACAAACTTACCAATCAGTAACTTTGTTAATAGTTCTCTTAGGACTTAACAAATTAAAATCATCTGAAACTTTATCAACATCCGTTTTATCATGCACTTAGGAATTTTGATGTAATTTTAATTAATAGAGAAATTATGTTGCAGGTTTATTTACGTACATTACGGATGTAAAGTCACTCGTTGAATCTTGATATTGAGTTGTTTTTTGTTGTTATTGCTGTTGTTTTGGTCATGACTTTACTCTTTCTTACTGCCTTCTTTTCTCATTGATATTTCAGTAAGTTTTGTTTATTGACTTTGTTCCGTACCATTCTGGGAGGCAAATAAATCATATTACTATTCTCCTAATAGGAAAACAGTATCATTCTAAATGGATCTGTGATGGTCAGCACCACCCGCCTACCCACTTCCTCCAGTGGAGACCAATTGGGTAGTGGTGACTGGGTGCGCTACAAGCTCTGCATGTGTGCTGACGGGACGCTCTTCAGGGTGCAAGTAACCAGCCAGAACATGGGCTGCCAAATCTCAGACAACCCCTGTGGAAACACTCATTAGAAGAACCCCAGAGGTCATCAACATGTTTATGACTTGTTGACTTCACTTTTTTATGCATGCAAATCATTGTTTTTACAGAGTATGTGATAACTCATAATTATTTTAACGACAGAGCACTACTGTATCTGCCATATGGTCCACATCGTTAAAATCTTCTCTGAGAGCCTATATTCTAATACATTTTATTAAGTTGCACTAATTTTCATATTTACTGTTCTCTAAAATAATTATAAGAAGTGAATAAAATCAAAATTAATGTTTAAAGAGTGTTTTTAAAATTCCACTAACCCTTTTCTAACGGACAAAGGGCTGAAGCAGCTGTTTAGACTCACTGTAGGTAAACTTTGGTAACTCTGATGGGGATAGACCCATGTAAAGTATTTGATGTTTTATGCTCTGCCTTTTGGCTTCTAAAAGGAAAGATGCAGATTTCTAGTGCATTAAGCTTGAGCCATATTCTCACATGCAAGTGAAGTCATTGAATAACTTTACATATGCAAGATAGAAACAGTGGTCCCTTAATTTTGCACTAGGAAGAAAATATTTCCTAATAGAATGTTTGTTTGAAATAATGATAAACATCAAGTGTTCACAATGTGGTAGAAATAAAAATACCATCTCAGCTTTAACTTTTAAATAATAATGATAGCTATCTTTACTGAGCCTTTTCTACATCCTAGGCATTGCCCTAGGCATTGCATGTTTAATATCCCTAATTCTTACCACAATCCTGCAAGTAGGGGATATTATCCAAGCTTTACCCATTAAGAAACTGAAGATCAGAGAAGTTAAGAAACTTGCCCAACATCACATAGTAAGTAGCAGAGTTGGGATTGGAATTCAGGCATGATTCAAACCAGGATGTGCTTGATTCCAAATGCCATGTTATTTTCACTATCTGCACTGACTTTTTAATTATTTAAAACTCCAGAAAGATGAACAAAGATTAATTTAAACTTACCCAAGAAAATGAGAATCAAACAAAACAGATATGTTTACTCTAGTTAAAAAGAAAGTAAGTCTCATGTCAGACCCAAAAAGGATCAATCACTGTCAGATTTTAAACTACGTTGAGCCAATTCCAAAATATCATACCATGGAGAGGTCAAATTTACCTACTTGTGAGTTACCTCAGTTTCCCAACCAATGGACCTTGGCACACTGGAGTAAAAATGCATAACAGAGTTGCCAAGATATTTATACCCTCAGCCCTCAGGGTGACACAGTGGAAAGTGGGGAGGCCATAGACCCAAACAAGTCCTACGGGCCGGGCATGGCCTGGTTAAGTATACCATGCCTTGAAAACAAGTCTAGAAGCACTGGACTAAAGAGTGCAAATGCAGGAAGAAATACACATAATTTTTAGGTTAGGAAAATGATTTCTCTGCTCCTAATATTACTATCCCACTGTAATTATTGATAAGCCTCAAACCAGTTGATTTTTTAATATATTTGAGTGGAAAAAGTACTCTGGTATTATTAAGACTCACACAGAATCAGGGACAGGGTCCTCAAAGGAGTTTGCTGTACAGTAGGCAGTAGAGATGAGGCATGGGCCCATCCGTGCATTCAAGTGTAACAGCATTCTGTCAGGGTCACTTTGAATTGTGTACATAAGAAAACCAATACAAAAAAACAATTTGTACTCAATATTGTCACATTTCTCTCTGGTAGAAAAATCAAATACCTTAGAGATTATGAAGTCATTAAATTATACTGAAATTGGATTGACTTACTACCTAACACTGAGCACAGTTTTTAACTGAAAAGAGTGAGATTTATAACCTCTGAGTGGTATTGCAGTGATATTTGAACTCATTTGAATATATTCAATATCATTTAATATCTGAATTATATTCAGAAAAACAATTGCCAGAATTTTCATTCAGATGCTCAGTAAATTAAATTGCATATTCATTACTTGTCTGCTCTATTTAGATTTGTTTTAAAAGTTTAAGTAAATATTTTTACAAAAACCAGAAAACTCTATATTACAAAGTATTTATTAAATGGAGTTCATGAAATAATCTATTTTTACTCTTTTTTGAGAAATACTTGTGTTTTTGATACATCTACATTAAGTGCTTTTGACATGAGAGGCTATTCTGATGTTTTTCTAGAACTGATTGTTATCAGGAATAGTATTTTAGGATACTTTACAGGTAGTCCTGGCTTTTTCCCTGAAACGTAGACTTGGAAAATCTATTGGAAAGCAGAACAGGAACAAATTCTTTGTTTTACTTATGGCTTGTTTTTATTCACAGTAAAGCTTCAACAACTCATTCTCTCCACCAGATGGTATTTTTCTATAAACTGAAATGCTGACTTTGCCTCTTCCTGCTGTACACTCATCCCTGCACTGAGCACAGAGATGACAAGTAATAGCCACAGGGGAGGTGGGAGACAAAGATAGGACCCCAGGAGGGGGCGCAGGTACATGCTAGTTTCAATTACCATAGTATTCTAGAGGCAGGCTGCAATGACAAGGAGGCAAATGAAATCAATGCAAGATTTCTTAGAGACTAATGGGCAGACAGGAAAAATTTAAAACAACACAAAACAGGGACTGCCTGTAATATTTTAAAATATACTTATTTGTGTTTTTTTGCATTGTAAAAAAACAAAATAAATTTTGTGTGATAGTTTTGATGATGAAAGGTGGAAGTTCTACCTAGGTTTGAATGAGTGTTTTTTTAAGGGAATGAGAATACGGTGCTAAACTTGACAAAGAGACCATTGAAATGCTGAAAATGTTAGCAGTATTCTTAAAAGTATTGAGGGGGCAAAGATGACCAGTTATGCCATACAAAAATAAACCTATACATGTGTTTCAGGTTGCTAACTTGAGTTTCAGTTAATTCAGTTTGTAATAACTAGTAATGAACTTCTGTTTACAATAAAAATTCTGTAAATTGTTTGCTGTTAGTTTTTTGATGGTTATAAACTGGTTTCTACTTAGTCATGCAAATGTGGTAAATTTAAATATGGATTGAAATGGGACACTGTCAGTATTTATGTAATCTCTCTGGACTTCTAGAACTCAAAGTTAGAAAGCTGTCCATTCCCAGTTTTGAATGCCCTCCCCTCTGTTCGTTGCAAAAGGCCTCTCTCCAGTGGTGCTTCCTTAGTGTCCTAGGGGAAGGTGCACACTGTCACCATGGCAGAAGGCCAGAGCCAGAGATGAAAGGGTGAGGGCTGGCCACTGGGCAGCCTTGATGGCAGGATGGGTGGAGCCTCAAAGGCTCAGATCTTAAATCTCCACCTGGCTTGATCCAGATATCCACCCATTTGAAAACCACCTAGGATACAAAGGTATGTCTTAGAAGCAATGTTACTTACCAGATCTTGTCCTCAACCAAAATAGCCTCTGTTGCTTTTTTCCTTCAGTTTTGCAACCTTTTCTTTCTTTTATGTATAAATGAACTCTTCATTTCCTTTCTATAATACTTCGTTTACTCTGCTGCCTTCTTCCTTTCACTCGTTGGCACATACACCTACACACCCAGTATTTCTAACTGCTTCCTCATGCTTCAGCTTGACTATGTCCATTCTGAAATTTACATTTTACCTAATTATTTCCAGTTTCGTGAGCAACTTTTTCTGGAGTTCTCGGTAGTTCCTTACCTAATACATATAAATTTATAAATAGTATAATTTTTTTACAAATTAATACCTTTCACTTTAAGATACAAGATTGTACTTGTCTAGCTGTTTTGAACTCAAACCTATCATGTATAAATCTCTGCAACTTAGAAAGAACCAGGGCAATTTTAATTCATGTAAGCTTAAGAAAAAGTATTTTTCAACCATGTCTTTCTCTTCAATACTACAGAATAATGTACCTGTGAATGATGACTATATTTTTTTTGTTGCTGATGTTGTTAGATTAGCTTGGTACACAATTGTATGTATAATCACTTCAGCTTTGAATGTAGAAACAAATATATTTCTTCCTGGGCAAATCAATTCAATTTCTGGTATTACATAAAAAGCACACTACAAAAATAAATCACTCCTCCATGCTGTAGGGCATCTTTGCAGTTCATGGCCGTGTGTACCTGAATTTAGATGCCCTTGAAAATATGGGAGGATTGACCTTGCATGAAACAAAAGTTTTAAAGTTACATTGTAAATTTCATTCACTTCACTCCATGTATTTATTTACACACAAACAGCATAACCCAGTGAGAGACTGCAGGCTGCTAAAAATATAAAACACTAGATAGACAGATCGAAAGAAAGAAAGATAGCTAGATAGATAGATAGGTAGGTATGTTCCTTCTTTTAGGGGGTTCAGAACAGATACGAAGCAAAGCAGTAGTAATGCGGAATGTTACCAACGTGTATCCATTCATTCAATATTCACTGAAAGATTTCTGTAAACATAAAGACAAATACTGAAGCTAAATCAGGAAAAAGGACCAGGCCATAGGATGTGAGATGAAGGATATGTAAGACTACGGCTAACAGGAGAAGGCATTGAACTTGGAACTGGGAATGAACTGAAAGTGAATTTCAGCATGAGATATGCATGTATTGTTCTTTGCACAAGCCACATCTTGTAGGCTCCACAGGCACTTATCAAGCCAGGTCATAAGTCTAGCTAGATAACACAGGGCTTTAAATACCAACCTGAGGGATTTGGACTATAGGCAATAAGGAGCCCTTTGAGGATTTCAAATGAAGAAATAATAAAGGAAAAAACATTATTGTAGGAAAATAATCCTTTGGAATCACCTAGGATGGAACAAGAAGAAGGGAAGACGAGGCAGAGACAAAATCAGTTAAGCCATTTTAGCATTTCAGACTGCAGTGATGAAAACTAAACTGAGCGCTATTAGAACAGAAAGGAAGGGATGATTTGTTGAAAACTCTTATACTGAATAATGTGATTATTTGTACACACGGTGGTTTTTAAGTGGGATTTAGTTTAAAATCACAGAAGTTATCCATCTTTAAAATTATTTTTGTGATACATTCAGCCATTGTAATTTATACTTCTTTTTTATAAACTTTCCATTCTCAAGAATTTTTGGTACAAAAGATACTTAATGTTTCTGTATCTTATTACATCTTCATGGTTTGGAGCCAGAACATATATTTGATAACACATTATGTCATATATATCTAAATGATTTCATAATGATTTGAAAAGCTGCAAAAGCCACACAGCAAAGCTTACGTTTCTTCTATTTATGAAAAATAAGAGCCTCTTTTGTGAGTTGAACTTTTTACTCATAGAGTTATAGAGGTCCATGGTTTAGTGTAACTGGTTGTCATTCATGTAATAAACCACATGGCTGATTACAATGCTGCAGATAAGCATAATAGACTTTGCTCTGTATTAAGGGCCTGCAAAGAAACAGAGAAGTCTTTAATCTTAGTAAGGCTTTATTCATCCCAAAGCACACTGCAGATTGAACAATACTGGAAAAGCAGAGGTGAGGCCTAAGTGAGTATGTATGTCCTTTCTTTAAAATGTGACATAAATGTAATTTTATGCTATAGCTATGTCATTTTGGTAGCTACATTTTCATGCCCCGATATCTAATAAATCAAACATTTGCTTAAATTGGTAACTAAGGCAAGATAACTTGCCTAATTCTTAAATTGAAAATTAGATTTTCTGCTTCTTATTTTCTGTTAGTTTTTATATATTATTGTGAATAAGTCAATTCATTTTCCTTTTTCCAGGCATTATGAAAAACCTCTATTTCAGAATCATTACCATAGTTATAGGTCTTTATTTTACTGGAATAATGACAAATGCATCAAGAAAAAGCAATATTTTATTCAATTCTGAATGCCAATGGAATGAATATGTTCCGACAAATTGTTCTTTTACCGGAAAGCATGATATACCTGTGGACACATCACAGACAGCAGCCACTGTGGATATAAGTTTCGGTTTCTTTAGAGTTTTCTTAGAGTGTCACATGAAAAAAGAAGAATGGAAAATAAAACATCTGGACCTCAGTAACAGTCTCATATCAAAAATAACGTTAAGCCCTTTTGCATATTTACATGCTTTGGAAGTGTTAAACCTCAGCAACAATGCCATCCACTCCCTCTCATTGGATCTACTCAATCCTAAGTCCTTATGGGTGAAACGCCACAGAAGCAGTTTCAGAAAGAGGTTTCCATTGCTGAAGGTGCTCATTCTTCAAAGAAATAAACTCAGTGACACTCCCAAGGGTGAGTATAATTTTAAGTAGACAGAGAAACAGTGCTTGCATGGAGTTGTTTCATGTCCATAAGAATTCTACATTTGTTTTCAGGTTCAAGGAGACAGCTGAAAGTACAGTAATAAAGTACACATAATAAAGTTTCTTAGTGGCACTGGAGATTACTGTATGTGAAATTTACAGTTAATGCAATTTAGTTTTCCATTAGTAAATCTGACATTAATGTTACATACATTTATCGAGACACTAGGAAATATTTAAGTGCTAAATAATAATGAGTGATTTTGTTACCTACTTTGAACATCATATGTTTGTTAATATAGAAAAGCACTGAGAAATAACTAGTTCAAATACATTTAATGTATAAGGCAATTCAAATTAAACGTTGCCATACTAGTAATATTTTTCTTTTTTGAGTACATTTTGCCTCTTTCTAGTTGTCCTCCAAAAGTATAGCAGAAGTATCCTAATATGGTAGATTGGTATGTAAACCTTCTGATTATCAAGTCAAAATCAGAATTCCTTATCCTAGTTTCTAATAGGGTACTCCAAATCACCTCCTATTATCATAAATTCTCATCTGACATTCAATAGTGTACATGTTGGAGTTCCTTAATGGATACACCAATGTTTTCTTTAGAAAATGTACCAAGTTCATAAAGCAAAACTTCCTTTGCCCTTTTTATATTCCAGAGTGCTAGACAATTAATTTCCTTTCCTTGTTTGTTTTCAGTCTTGTTCACTCTTTGCTAAGCACCTACTTTATATAACACTATGCAGAAAAAAAAAAGTATAAGGATATTGTTCTCTTTCTCCATTCCAAGTTGTGCATATTTTTCTTATTACCTAGTTCTGATATTTCATGTTTGTATTTTCATGCTCTTTCTCCAGCTTTGTTATAAGCATCATTTTGGCAATAATAGCCTAGCAGGTATAGGAATTAATCCAGTCACTACGTCAGCAGAATTGTGTGAGAAGGGTGGGAGTCTTCTCTCCCTGACCTTCTCCGTAAAAGTAGAAGTCATAAAATGTGACTCCGTAAAAACGTGTCATATTTTCAGTGTAAATGAATTGCATTTTATTTTATGATTTTTATTGTATTGTTTTTATTACAAAAAGAATACCTATTACTTATAGAACACTTAAAAACTGAAGAAATATTTAAAGGGAAAAATTAAAGTCACTCATATATATTCTTCAAGTTTTTTATCCCTATTTATGCTTTTTATTTCAAAATTGGATCATTCTGGCCATACTTCTAATTTGTATTTTCATATCATAGAATATTTTAATATCTTTAAATAATTAAGCAATCTCATAAATATTTTAAATAGTTGAATAGTTTTTATATATGCATGTATCGTAATTGGTTTAATCAAGCACTAGGTTATTTCCAGGTTTTGTTTTTTGATGGACATCCTTACAGCTACATATATCAGTATGATATAACAAAATCTTTTTAACTGGTTTGGTAGATGTGACTCTCAATCCACAAATTCAAGTGTACTAGAGATAAAACCTTCTACTGTCTGTAGCAACATAATTTCTGATTCTAATCCCCCATTAGGAGGAGTCGGAGGGATATTTAATTAACATCAGTCTTTCATCAGCTTTCCTCTGCCCTAGCCGGGATTTGTACCCAGTTCTAGAATCGTATATTCTAACAAAGCATCGAGGCATGCGTGTTCCTTAGCCCTGATACCCAGAAAATATTACTTTTCAGTCTTTTCAGTTTGGAGAACATTTCTTCTCCCTTTTTTTTCTTCTGTCTTGAGATCACTTTCTTCTAAAGGTTTAGGGTTTTGGAAAACAAAAGCCAGAAAGACTTGTAGACTTAGCTACTTTCTGCCTTGCCATGTGCCTTCCCTGGGACAATGAATATGGATCCTACTTTCTGTGTGACTGGAGAGAAAGAGCAAGTGGAACATATAGGGAGGCAAGAGACTAGCATGTCAAAGTATTACCCCACCACAAGAGCGAATAGAGAAGTGCTGAGTTTCTCTCTTTAAGGCAGAGGCATTCCCCCGAGCTAACTGCGGGTTGGGACAGACACAATTCCACTTAAAGACCAAATATCCCTGTAAATGCAGATACAGATCCATCTTCTTTTTAGAGTTCAGCTTCTACCTCCCAAAAGATCAAGAAACACGTTCAACTTGAAGAGCAAAGAAAACAAGAAGTGAAGTGAGCAAATTCTATATCTGAAATTCTATTAAAATTCTAGCAAATGAAACCATAGAGAGATGAGTGAAAGAGAGAGACGTTAGAAGTTCAGTGTAAGCCATGAATCTGATTGGATATAATTCAGGGTTCTTTTATCCATAGTATTTTGTGATTTAAATTATTTTCCCATAATCATCATGTTAGTCTTTACTAGTTTGAATCTCTTCTAACAACTTTTCCTATTTGATAGTTCTGTGACTATGGCTGAGTCAGTCTAACTAACTTCGAAATTCCACGTTGAGGGAAATTGCTGGTAAGAGAAATGCTGCCTAAGATACCACCCTATTTTTGGCCTTTTTCTTTGTTCTTCAGTTCTTCACTCTAAGTCTGTCTATAGGTGACATCTCGATAATATAAGATTTACTCATCAGATCATTGTGAGGATTAAATGAAGAAATGTGTCTCAAGGACCTAACTTAACATGATATTTGGCATAAGAAATCGTGGCAATTTAAATGTGAAAAGTACTTCAAAATGTTGTGAATTACCTTGCAAATGCCAGTTTTTATTATTCTCTTGGAACAAATTGAGAATAACAGTATACTTAGAAGCAAATTATATGTTTTTGTCTAAATCTAAAGGTTGGTTTGTTTGTTTGTTTGTTTGTTTGTTTGTTTGTTTTGAGATGGAGTTTCACTCTTGTTGTCCAGGCTGGCATGCAATGGTGCCATCTCAGCTCACTGCAACCTCCGCCTCTTGGATTCAAGCAATTCTCCTGCCTCAGCCTCCTGAGTAGCTGGGATTATAGGAATGTGCCACCACGCCTGGCTAATTTTGTATTTTTAGTAAAGACAGGGTTTCTCCATGTTGGTCAGGCTGGTCTCAAACTCCCGACCTCAAGTGATCTGCCCACCTCAGCCTCCCAAAGTGCTGGGATTACAGGCATGAGCCACCGCACTCAGCCGAAAGTTATTTTTTTAAATGCTAAACAACTATTGCAGTAGTAGCCCACTATAATTCATGAGCAGATAATTATTTGTGTCTGACTATATAGACACTTGCAGTCATCTAAAATAATAATAATAAATTAGGGAGATCTCAGAAAGCAACAATTAAGCAAGCTCTGTAACTATGTACCACATATTTTAAAATGGTGGCTGTCTCTAGAACCAATAAAAAGTTGCTTTCACTTAGGAAAGCCCACTTTTGAAAGGGTGAGATATCACATGGACTAACCCTGACTTCGGAGTCAGCTGTGGTGTCACCAGTAAGCTTCATGTTGGGAAAACGCCCAAAAGAGGTGCTGCCAATAAAATTGATAAAGCAGATGCCAGCCAGGAATTTAATCAGAATGGTGCTTCCACCTTCCTCCCATATTTTTGGAGTACAGCGTTACTAACTGAAAAACTAGTGTAAAAAACACGAAAACAATGGGATCAGTCTCTGGTTACTCTGTCCTACCTTCATCAAGCAGTATTTTTGAAGTGCTCACAGAGTACCTGGAAACATAGCAGGAACAACGTCTTGTTGGGATTCCGGTTAGGCTGATACATTAAATGTAGCAACCTCACATTAACCCACTAAGTTCCAGAACCCAAGAGATAAATGTGTCAGAAATAAGATGAAATGATACCTAACATTTGATACTGATGGAATTAAAAAAAATACACAGTGTATTATAAAAAACAAAAGTAGATTGTGTTCCTTCATTCATAGAAAATTAAAGATTTCATCCTGATTGCTACTGAATTATGGAATTATCAATAAGCAATGTTCTCAAAACTAGTTCAGGTTCTAAAGAAACAAAAAGTATATCAGACACTAAACTGAGAAGGCAGGGCCTTTGGTTCACCTGCATAATTTGACCACAATAAGATCTGACCGAATGAATCAAATATCTTACCCAGGCCCATTCTAGACTGTTTTTCAATTCCTATTGCTCTTTAGACTAAAAGCCATAATCGCTGAATATTCTTGCTTTATGTTATCAGGTTGTCACACTTGGGAGAGTATTTAAGAAGGTCATAGTACAGAGGGAGTACTTACTAAGATAGTGTCTGAGTATACTTTCTGTTGCCTTTTTTCTGATAGACACATTATTTCTTGGAAACAATAAAACTGCCTCTAGCCCTTAAATGCAAAGGCTAATAAAATTCCTGCCTACTATGGCCTATGTAATCATTAGAAAGCAGTTCAATAAATAATTCCCTTTCCACAAAGAGAGTTAGGTACCTCTATATTTTCCTCCCAGCATTCAACTCTCCTCTCTTGAAAAATAAAATCTACCCCTGATGTCCGGGATGAATGCACCATATAGCCTCTTTCACTCATCTGACTACCTCCTAAACATTGACTCACCAAGCAAAAATATAAAAAGAACACATTTTCCCCCATTGAGAAGTGCAGCCAAATACTATGCAAGAGTTTTCTTAAATTTCCCAACTCCATATTGAGAGACCCTAAACAAACCAGGTCATTTGTAAGGACCAAACCAGTTCCCTTAAAAATATAAAATCTTCATTATCTAAAATTGAAAGTAAAGGAGAAGTTTTCATGCGCAAGGAGGAGTAATTGAACTTCTTGGTCTTTATTCTCATCTCCAGAAGACATTTACCTTCTTCGTGGGAAATCTCACCTTGATATTATGAGGGGAATTAAATAAGAGGATGCCCTAATAGCCGCGTTCAAAATCACTCTCTCCTAGCATGCTTGGGTATGTTCGGGTCCCATTCTTTTCATTTGGAGTACAGTAGCACAATCTCAGCTACTACAATGTCAGCCTCCTGGGTTCAAGAGATTCTCCTGCCTCAGCCTCCCAAGTAGCTGGGATTACAGGCGCCCACCACC